TGTGTGTGTGTGTGTGTTTGTGTGTGTGTGTGTGTGTGTAGAGACAAAGTTAAGTTAGTGATCACACCTGAGTCCATCAAAGGTGTTGGTCTCAGCTCCTCTGTGTGGCCAGGTTCACGTTAAGCACTTTGAACTCTGGCACTGCCCCATGGTATTAGGAGGACCAGATGCCTCTGAGGCCATCAGTCCCTTCTTTCCCATGTTCATGCATGAGTCCCTTCTTTCCCATGGTCATGCTTTAGGCCAATATTGCTTAAGGGAAGGGAACAGTCACAATACACCACACATCAGGGTCTCTTGCTTGTCTCTGGCCACTCAGCATCAGCAGTGTTCTGGGCAGCTCTCAGTCTACACATGCTTCTACAGTCTCAGAGGGTGCAGTCCATGAGTAAAGACTCATAAGATCTGTAACACCAGTGTGATCCAATCTCCAGCCAGGCAGCAACACAGAACCCCGGAACAATGAGGACACCACACTGCTTCTAGCTACAGCTCCCCAGGGAAGCCACCTGAAGTCCCAAAATGGATCAGCAGATGGCACTGACTTGGGGGCTGCTCTACATGGCCCTGGTGGCTCCCTGTTGGAGATTTGCGGTGACAGAGGCACAAGGTAAGTCTGAAGGCCCCTTCCTTTTCATCCCTCTTTTTAATTGAGTCAGGCAGGAGCCACATACAACAAATTGCCGGAAACTCTCAGACCACCAGCCTTATTAGCTGCTGTATCCATCTCTGCCCTCCTTTGTCTACTGCATCCACCGTTCCCTCCTTCAGGACTACCCTGGTTCCCTGTCTTCCCTGTTCTCCATCTTCCTGCTCATCCTTGCCTATTCCTGGATTATCTAGCCCATTGGTGTTCCTTTGCACATATTGCTCAGTGTAGTTCCCAAAGCCCCAACCTCCAATGAGCCAGTGTTTTCTCTGCCCCTTTCCCAGACACTCTCCTCCCATGAGAGTTTCAGGGTCCCTTAAACCATTGCTTCAGGGGTCTCTGACCTAAGGCCTCCACTGTCCCCAAGCTCACTCTAGCTCCCTCATGGCAGGCCCTTTGGACAAATTAGAGGTCTCTGAAGCTGGAAGAGTGTCTTCAGTGCACTTTAGACTTCTTCCATGACAATGTGGGAGCCACATTCTCTTGACCACTTCCAGGTTCAGAGGTCAAGGCTCAGTGTATCAGGACCCTGGATGGGGAGATGGCAGCTGAGTCCAGGCCATGAATGTCTGTCCTGCCAAGTGACACCTCTGACAATATGAGAGGTCCCAGCAATGCTCTTAGACAGTGAGGGTGTGTGCAGCACAGGTAACAGTCACAGCTAAGAATCCACTGGAGTCTCATGTTCCTGACAGAAGAGAAGTGGCCCCAACACAGCCCCTCCAGGTTAAGGCCCTCCAACTATTTGGTCACCTGGTTGATGGCTATCAGCAGGAAGCTGGAGGTGTGGCTGATTAAAAGAGCTGTAGGAACCAGGGCTTCATGGTGCATGCCTTTAATCCCAGCAATCAGAAGACACAAGCAGGAGAATCTCTGGGAGATGCAGGCTCAAACCTTCACTTAGGGAAGGGGGACAGAAAACTGTAAACTTCCCCAGCAGTGACAAGGCAGGGATGGGAGTTACGATGAGCTGTGGTGAAGTAAGAAGAGGGACATGGGGTTCTGTCTGGGGACAGGAGTCCAAGAGAGTCACCAGGAGAGATGCCACTTCTTCTGGGCAGTGACCAACACCAGGCACCTGAGGTTGGAGAGAGTAGGCAGCAGGAGTGGAGCAGGCGTGGCTGGCTCCCTGCGCCCTCTGCTGGAAGGAAGGCCACAGTGCAATCAGAGCAGGAGGAGGCCCCCTTGAATGGAATTGGAATGTTCAGGCCCTGTCAGGCCGAACTGCTGTCAAATGTGGTACCCAGGTTGTCAGGTTCCATGTGGGATGCTGCAGAGGCAGGGCCCTGAGGTCTTTTTCTTGGTCATCAGCTGATGGGGTCAGCACTGCACCTGGGCCCTAGTGGTGCCCAGAAAGCCACAGGTCCCCCAACATGCAACCCTCACAACCCTTCTGCTCCCTCCTCTGTAGTGCAGCCACCACCTCCCAAGGACATCAACATCAGCCCCTCGGGGGACCACTTCCTGCTGAAGTGGAGTATGCCCCTTGGGGATGCCTGGGTCCCCTGGCTGTCACAAGAGGACTTACAGTTTGAGGTGTCTTACAAGCGTCTTCAGGACTCCTGGGAGGTAGGACCCTGAACCATCCATGCCAGCCTTGAGGAATGACCTAGAAAGCTCCTCCTTCAGCTCCCCTGTCTCCACAGGATGCACCCAGCCTCCACACCAGCAACTTGTGGGCCACTCTGGAGCCAAAGCTGCTCCTACCCAGCAACACCTATGTGGCCCGTGTGCGAACCCAGCTGTCCCCAGGCTCAACCTTGTCTGGAAAGCCCAGCAGATGGAGCCCTGAGGTGCAGTGGGATTCCCAGCCAGGTAATAGGGCCCATAGGAAGTGCTCCCCTTAGGAGCCCAGACAGTGGAGACTTAGTCTCCACCTGAGGCTGCAGCATCTGCCCTACCTTGTCATCAACACTTCCCACCATGCCTGTGTCGCCAGTATTCCACGTGGGCCACTCTATCTCACACACTCTTAGCTCTATGACCCCACGTATGTTCTGTGCATGACAGCGACATCATGACAGCAAGAGCAGAAGCCTAGGCCTTGTGTGTTAGCAAGTGTTGAGCAGTGTGTAGCATCGCCTGTGTCCCTGTGTTCATCCCAACACTCAATATTTAGACATGGCCCCCTCTCCCAAGTTGGGGCAGAGGTACCTGTGTCTTTCCAAGCTGGGGACACATGGCAGGCAGGTTCAGTGCAGAGGTGGCTGATGTCCACAGCCAGGTTCTGCTGACATAAACCCCTCTTCTTGTGAGTCACCTAGTGTCCCAACCTAGGGAAAGGTTGAGGATGGAGTGACTGAGGGCCGATGTGTCCCCACAGGGGACAAGGCTCAGCCTCAAAACCTACAGTGCTTCTTCGATGGCATCCAGTCCCTCACCTGCTCCTGGGAGGTGAGGACCCTGATGACAGCCTCTGCTTCCTTTGGGCTCTTCTACAGATCCATCCCAGCTGCTCCGTGAGTGTCCCCTTCCCTTGGCCCTGCTTCTTCTGATCCTCAGGGCTGTTGCTCTATGAGGTCTTAGCCTGAACTGACCCTCCCCTGACCCTGCTCTCAGCTCAACTATGCTCTCCAGGGAGAAGGAATGCTCCCCGGTGGTGAAGGAGCTGCAGGATAGCCTCTATACCCGCTACCACTGCAGTCTGACCGTGTCCAACCCCAGTGCACACAGCCAGTACACAGTCTCTGTTCAGCTGCGGAAACAAGGAAAATTCATCAAGAGCTATAGACACAGTGAGTTTGTCCTGCCTCTGCCCAGTTCCAAAGACTGTAGTGGTCTATTGTGTCACCCCCCAAAACTCAGGGATCTCTTCAGAGTCTTTGCCGTTTATCACTTTCAAAGATTTTCAGAACAGTGACTCAAAGTGAGAAAATGAGTATTCTGGGATTAGAAATGTGGCTCAATAGGTAAGAGTGATTGATGAAGCAGCAGGGGTACCTGAGTTTGAATCCCTGCACCCACATGAAAATGTGAGTGTGCTCATATGCACCTGGCAAGAGACAGGAAGATCGATGGGACTTTCTGGCTACCAACCTGGGATCAGGTTCAGTAAGAACTCCTGTCTTAAGGGAATATGACACTGAGAATGGTCTGGAGACATCTTTCTATTGCTTCTGGAAGCCTGTTTATAGGCACCCACACCCACATGCAGGCATGTGCAACAGAGAGAGGGAGTGGCAGAGATAGAAAGAGGCAGAGAGATGGGGGAGAGAGAGGATCCAGGGAAGCCACAGCCCACTTGTAACTCACTCTGCTGCAGTCCACACGTCTCACCTCAGAAGTGTGGCACTTGAAACTTGTCCCCCTTCCCTTCCTCTGAGGAAGTCCTCTCAGTGGCACACTTATCCCTCCTTTGGACGACTACCCTGTAACTATCTTTTCCCTCTGAGGTTTCCAGCCTTCTCCTCCAACTAATGTTCTCACTTCTCAAACTCTGCTCTATGCTTTACTTTTGTGCCAGGGAAGCAGTGTGTTCCAGCAGATGGCTCTCTCAGATCCTTGTCACACCTCCTGGCACATGGCCAGGACCCTGAAACATGGGAGGCTTTCCATCCAACTAGTGATGTGTGCCACCTATGGCAGCCAATCTCTTTGTCACCTGAGTTCACATGCAGCATTTTTCTTTGTGTCCTCCCTCTGGAAAAGGGATTCCTCTGATTCAAGAGAGCTCCTCTGTGTATTATAGTCACCCACAATATTTTTGTAAAAGCCCTCTGAAGCCATCAAGTTATGATTCTTTTGTCTGATGGGCAGAGAGAATCTCAGCATGACTGCAAGACTTAATTTAAGTTGCTCATGTCTCTCAGAATGTACAGCAGGTCTACATGAGAAAGCCTGAACACATGGTCATGTCTGGAGAGAATGTGACATGCTAGAAACCCGGACACGTTCACTGCCCATAAGAAACATCAAGTGCAAAGAATGGACAATGCCAGGGAGAACATGAGATACAGGCAGCCTCATGTCGCTGTGGGTTTATTTGGGGATGTTTTTAGAATAGCAAGAACTTACTAGCCTATCCTGATTTCAGGCAACTCCCAGGGTCACTCAAGCAGAAGAGGGGAGTGACTGACATAGGACAGTGGAGACACAAGCTGTCTACCCCTCAGTCCTTATCTGTAGATGTTCTGGGCCTCAGTTTTCCCATGTGTAAAATGGGGAAGTTAGAGTATACACAGGGGAAGGGAGAGAGCTGTACAAGGGAATTCCCACAAAGTGAGTGCATTATCCAGGGCATGGAACAGTCTGTGCACCTAGGTAGGGAGACACTAGCATTTTTTTCTATTCTCCTGAATACTAGAAGAAGCACCAAACTTTGGGCCACCTCACCATGGAGACTAACCTCAGGCACTCCCCCAGGGACCAGCTAGGGAACCCGTGTCTTGGTAATGCTGGTGTTTGTCTTAGTTACTTTTCTATTATTGTGGCAAGACATCATCACCAAGGAAATTTGTAAAAGAGAATTTACATTGGGATTATGGTTTCAGAGGGTCAGAGTCCATGATGGCAGAGCAGGAGGAGACATCAAAAGGGGCAGGAAGTGGAGCAGCAGCTGCAGAACAGCTATTTTGTTTGTTTGTTTGTTTTGTTGTTTTGTTGGTAGATTTTTTTCAAGACAGGCTTTCTCTGTTTATCTATGGCATTAGCTCTGTAGAACATGGGCATCAAACTAACAGAAATACCCATGCTTCTGAATCCAAAGTGCTAGAATTAAGGGCATGAACCACCAGGCTCACATCTTGAACCACAAGCCAGAGGCAGAGTAAGACTCAAAGACCACCAATGACAGATCTCCTCCAACAAGGCCGTACCTTCTAATCCTTCCCTAAAAGTTCCATCAACTAGGGGCCAAGTGTTCAAACATATTAGCCTATGGGGGCCACTCTCATTCAAACCACCACAAAGTTCTAAAGAGCCAATGTGATGAGTATTGAGGAGAAAGGTCTGGGGGGGGAGCTCCTGAGACTAGCTTGGATAATGGGGAACACTCTGCTGGAGGGAGGACCCCAAGATATTTCCTGAAATTATTCTCCCCTCCAGTCCAGATGGACCCTCCAGCTCTCAATGTTACTAAGGATGGAGATAGCTACAACCTGCGTTGGGAAACTAAGAAAATGTCCTCTCCTGATGTCAAGTACCAATTTCAGGTCCAGTACAAGAGGAAATTTGACAGCTGGGAGGTGAGTTCCAGGACCTAGGTTAAGTTATGGACAAGGTGGAAAATAAAGAAAATACACCAATGTGAACCCTTTTTCCAGGAGCCTGACCCCTGTGCCCAAGGACCCACATAGTCAACAGGTGACAGTCCCCTTTCTTGATGAAGAATTCAGGCTCAGAGAAGTTGACATGATAAGGTCCCATGACCAGTGTTGTCCTTAGCTGTGAGGGCAGAGAGAGAGTGAGGCAGCAGAGGTACCTGTGTGGCATATTTCTTTATACTCTGTGAATATATACCATCATGATTTGGTTAATAATAAAGCTGGCCAGTAGCTGGACAGGTAGGGGCTAGGTGGGACTTGCTATATACAAGGAATTGTGACTTCCCCTAAATACCTGCAATGATGACTGCCCCTACATACCTGGAATGAAGGTTTCCACGATCCCAAGTTCTTGCTGTATACCCTCCCAGAAACTAAATCTCAGTCAATGCTGTAGCTACTGAGGGTCAAGTTACTGCTCAGGGCAGGTCCTGCTTCCCAGGATATTTTCCATATGCAGAGGACTGACACCTAAATGCAGGATGGGGCTCCACAGATCCCAATTAGGGCTATTTTACTAGAACCCTAACTTCAGAGAGGGAACAGTGAAATTGAAGGCTGAGAGTGCATCAAGAGAAGGTCAGTCCTGACAACCCACTCCCCAGGCCCATGGCCTAGGACCAAGAGAAACAGTATGATGCTCTAGGATCAGACAGAATTTAGGCCAAGGTAGCAAACCAGAAAAATTGGAGGTGGGGTAGAGAGAGTCTGGGCTAGAGCCTGGGTGTGGCTATCAGTGCTAGAAGAGTTGGCATCTGGGGCTACTACATGGTTGGTTACAGAAGGCTATGTACTGGGGTCCTGGACTGGACTAGAACTTCAACACATCTGACACTGCAGGCCATCAAGACAGAGGAAGTAGATCATGCAAACATAATGGCCCTGCCTCTGCTGGAGCCATACACCACATACGTGGCTAGGGTGAGAGTCAAGACCCTCCCTAACTTCGATGGGATCTGGAGTGAGTGGAGCAAAGAGTACACCTGGACCACTGAATGGGGTATGTCTCTTGGCCATCACCACACTCCTGGGACAGTCCCATGGGATAGAGCAAGGAGGGTTCTACACCCATTCTACCCTGGTCTCCCTCTCCCTGTGTCTGTCCCTGGGAAATGACAATTGGTATATGACACTGTGCATGGGGACTTCGAAGAGGAGAGGATCTGTCTCACTCTTGGTCCTCCTTTCAGTTGGGGTTTAGATCTTTATTTATAAGCACTTGGTGTATTAGACTTTGTGGCAGCAATCATTGGTCACTCTGAGATTCTCGTTACCATGGCAGCAAAGCTACACTAGCTATACACACACATAAGTGCCTGTGGTTGGGAGGTTGGTGGCATCCATTGGTCCTGCCCATTTCTCTTACCATGAACTTTGCATTCAACCCTCACTTTTCCAAGGTGACTACCTGAACACACACTGTGCAAGGCAAGGTCTAGGGAAGTTAAAGACACCAAAGGAGGCGGGAGGTGATGGAAACCATTCCTCATGGTAGACAGACCATGGGGAAGGGGGAGTCTCAGGGTGACAGTCAGCCAGGCAGAAGGAAGGCTGGAGAAATGAGATGGGAAGGGGGCCTACAGCCCTAGGTCAGGAAGGCCAGTGTGCTGCCAGAAGGGACCCTCTACTGATGCACTGTCCATCTCCTCTGACCCTCCATGGACCAGGAGGCCATGGACCATGCTGCCTCCTCCAGGGAGTCTCCTCAGTTACCAAGGGCAGGCAGTCGCCTCTGGGTACTTGCTGCTCCTGCTTAGGGCAGAACTTGCACACACTGAGACATGGGTTCAAACCCATCGCTTCTTCCCGGGGTATCCAGCCTTCCTCACAGAGGGCCTGCTCCCTTAGCCTTTATCCCGAGCCTCCCAACTAATGTTCCTTCTCCCTCTCATCGAGCAAGTGATGCCCACATGGGGGATGGTCATCATCCTGGTCCTCCTCATCCTCATCTTGCTCCTGGCCTTCCGCTTTGGCTGTGTCTATGGGTACAGGTAAGTGCAGACTGTGGACAAGGCAAGTGGACACCGGGACCCAGGGTCACAGGGATGGCACAGCCTGGCACACCACCATTCCCCCCCTGTCACTCATCCTCTGGCTTCACTTTTCCCTCTATACATGGACACATGACTGGCCAGGCCGGGGAGGTCCCTGGAACCACTCATTCACAGGTCTTCCTGCTGTCTTCCAGGCTGTACAGGAAGTGGAAAGAGAAAATCCCCAACCCCAGCAAGAGCCTCCTGTTCCAGGTAGGAAGCAAGGCCCCACTGCTGGCTCCCTGTCCCATCATGGTCACAATGGTGAAGGATGGGAGACCCAGTAGGTGGGGCTAAAGGGGATGGGTCTCTGGAACTGCTTGGGTAACCTAAGGAGCAGCAGTCCCACAAACTGCCCTGAGCGCAGCCTTGGGCCACAGAGAGAACTGAGCATTCCCTTGCAGAGGAAGGCTCAGGAGGGGCTGCTCCTGGGGGTTAGAGAGCAGGCTGAGGGCCTCCAGGAGAGGACCTGAATCTAGCACAAGATGTCTCTGAGCTGGTGGGGGAGCCGGCTGCATCAAGGGTGACCTCAGAGGTTCAGGTCCTGAGACAGGGGTGTCCAAGTTGAAGGACAAGGCTGTCAGCTTCTCCTGAGTCAATGACTATGGGCAGACGCCAATGCCATGGGAGAAGAAGCTCTAGGGAACAGAGTGGCCTGATCCCTTCAGGAGCTTGAGATATGAAGGAAGTCAGCCCCTTGGAGGCCTACTGCTTTCTTGGAGTCAGAGGCCTGAGCAAGCCCCACCGTGGGGACATTCATTCTCCCCATGTCTGGAGCTCATGGAAGACACCATAGACACATGCCATCCTCCAATGTCCCCTCCTTCCTGAGGAACATTTGTGCCCCATTCACGGGCACTAATGTGTTTCCCTCCTAGGATGGAGGTAAAGGACTCTGGTCTCCCAGCAGCATGGCAGCCCTTGCCACTAAGAACCTTACTCTCCAGGGGCCACGGAGCAACCATTTTGCTGAGCTACAGGGGTGAGTGGTTGGGTTCTGACCCTCCGGGAGTCTGTGTGAGGATACATGCCCATTGTGTACATCAGTGTAGCCTGTGAGCCTCTGAAGAGATGGTAGGAGATGACACCCACTGAAGCAAGTGGCACTCCAGGTAGACTTGAGGAAGAACTTCCTGATTCCCAGGTTAGGGTGAGACAGATAAGGGACCAGAGACAGCATCCTGAAGTGGGAAACCTCTGCCTGCCAGGCTGCCTTGGTAAGCCACGCCCTGCAGGGGCCTCAAGGGTGGCAGAGAGTGCAAACCTTCAGAAATTCAGAATCAGTGGCCCTGTGGGTGGAAGGATGGAAGGAATGGATGTTACCCAGGCTTGTGTGAGCCCAGCCCTGAAGGCAGTGGGCTTCTAGGAGCAGAAGATGAGGGCCAAACCTAGGATAGGGATGTGAACAGAGCCCTGGGTACATGGTGCTTTGGGCCACTGCACTTGTGCCTATGTCGTTTGCAGGGTCCCATCTCTACCATGCCTTCGTGCTCACTGTGAGGTCTGCAGGGGCTCAGGTCTTCCAGAGAACCCCACCTGCTCTGGGGATACATTTTAAGTATCTAAGTTCCACATCTCTCATCTCTATCTCCATTGTCCCCACAGGATGTCATGTGCACATTTGGGGGACAATGAAGTGTCACCTCTCACCATAGAGGACCCTAAAATTGTCCGAGATCCACCATCCGGGCCTGACACAACTCCAGCTGCCTCATCCGAACTCATGGAGCAGACTTCCAATGCCCAGCGAGTCCCACCAATCCCTCCCGGCAGAGCTGAGATGCAGACACCCAGCTTTGACTTCAATGGTCCCTATCTGGGGCCTCTCCAGACCCACTCCCTGCCTGATCTCCCAGGCCAGCTGGTGCACCCCCAGACGGGTGGGAGCCTGAAGCCAGCACTGCCAGGCTCCCTGGAGTACCTGTGCCTGCCTCCTGGGGGACAAGTGAGGCTGGTCCCCCTGTCCCAGGCCATGGGCCAGGGCCCGGGTGTGGATGCAGAGTGTGAGCCTAGCCTGGGAACCACGGAGAGCCCTTCCATGGAACCGAGGGACAGCCCCTCACTTGAGCTGAGGGTGGAGGAACAAGGGCCAAAGGACAATCTAGTGACTCTGCCCATAAGCTCTGGGGGCCCTGAGGAGCCTGTGGTGGCCTCTGGTTATGTCACTCCTGCAGATCTGGTGCTCACCCTGCCCACAGGGCCCATGCCTCTCTCTCTGCGCTCCTCTCTAGGGTTCCCCTCAGCTCAGAGACCCAGTCTCTGTCTCAGACTGCCTGGGGTCCCTCCTGGAAGCCCAGGTCTTCCAACACCAGAAGTTGATGACTATGTGGAGCTCCCGCCAAACATGAGCCAGCCCCGCCAGTCCCCTCTGGGCAGTCCTGTCCCTCCTGTGCCAAGCAGCCCCACAGTGAGCCTAGGAGAGCAGAGGGAGGAGGTATCCCCAGCGTCCCCACACCCTGAAGGTCTCCTTGTTCTTCAGCAGGTGGGGGACTACTGCTTCCTCCCCGGCCTGGGGCCCGGCTCTCTCTCTCCACATAGCAAACCACCTTCTCCAGGCCTGTGTCCTGAGATTGTGGACCTAGACCAGGATCTGTCTGTCAAGAAGCCTCCTTGCCAGCCCATGCCCCAGGTGCCAGCCATTCAGTTTTTCAAGTCCCTGAAGCATCAGGACTACCTGTCACTGCCCCCTTGGGACAGCAGCCAGCCTGGGAAAGTATGCTGAGGCCACTCCCTCCCAGTCTCACCAGCAGCCCTGCACCTCAGCCTGTGGACCTCAGCCTGACATCTCCTCAGAAGCCCAGATGCTCCCTGGATGAGATGTAGTCTTCCCTGCTCTCAGCCCTGACCTTCAGCAATACCTGCCCCCACTCAGGTTGCCTGGCTTTTGTAGGATCTCACCTCCCTCCCTCTGACTTGTTGCAGTAGGGATGGGACCAGAGAGGCCTCTGAGGATGAGAGCTGCATAGTATGGTCTGTTCAGGGTTTAATGACTGCCATGGCTGCTCGTCCCCCCCCCTCCCCAGTCACCAATACATGGCACGATTCTGGCTCAGTTCATGGGTGGGAGGCTCAGGTGAATACTTTGGTGGTCAGACTTGGAAAACAGGCTAGCTCATGTCACTCCAAGAATGCCAATGGTCCTCTATGGCTGTCTGGAGCTCCTGGGTAGATCCGAGGGTCCTTTCAAGGGGCCTGGGGGGCCCTCGTTATATAGAGAAGTCACTGATGTGGGCAATGCTGGCTAGTGGCCATAGTTGTGGCCAGGCTGGGGAGGTGAAAAGCGAGAGGGAGGCTGGAAGTCAAGCACTCATGGTGTCAACTGCAGGAAAGCCTGGGTATAAATCCCTGGAAGGACAAGGGCACGGTAACCACACAGGACAGCCCATCCAAAGACGTAGTCTATACTTCAGGACTGCCAAGAATCCCCGGATACACCCCAAGAATGCCCGGATACCTGCAGTTCCCACTGAATTCTACTATGGGCCTGCTGTGGGACTGTGGTACTTGGAAATGACTGTCCTCTTGACAGTCCAGGCACAATGGCATTACATCATTCCATCTCACTTGCATTATTTTCTCTAGGCTAGGTTTGCACGCAGCTTCTGTATACATCTTGAGTATAGGGTTGTTTTGTTGTTGCCGGGGAGGAGGACTTGGGGCCTGAGCCCATGAACGATTTTGTCCCCCATAGTGTCATCTTTTTCAGTTAAGGCTGTACAACTCTGTCCACACGGCCTTTTGTGGGGCACACACTTCTCAGCTAAATGTGCCCTCCCCTAGTTTTGGGCAGGAGGCACAATGGCACCCTCCGCACTTACTTGTCTGCATCGCTGTGAGACAAATTGCCAAGCTGAAGCCCTCTTTGGTCCCATATTTGCAGCGGCCTTTGCAGCAAACGAACATGTGCCTATGTTTATATTCTTTCTGGTTCTTTCTGTGTCTCAAGCCTTGCATGGGAGGTTTTAAACTTTCCTAGGACACATGCTCACACTGCAGAGACCTGTCTTTCTATCCTCCGAGGACCTGGAACCAGTGTACATTGTGTCGGTTCTTCACCCAACTGCTCTCCATTCCCGAATCTAAAAGGTCCTTTTGGGACCCATCCAGTTCTCTGATGCACCTGGTCTGTCCCAGCATCTTATCTCATGGCCTCACTGCCTAGATGGCAGCATGGCTCTGTTCACACTTGCTTATGACCTGTGCAGGCAGAGCAAGTGTTCCTTAGTCCATGTTCACTGCAGCAAAGAAAACCACTAACATCTTGAATGTGTGTCAGTGGGTGGTGTTCACGATAGTCTCTCAGTACATTCTAATGTGGACTCCTCAGGGAAACAAGCAAGAACGACCTCCTCGTATTAAGACACTGACTCCAAAACGCCTTGCATTAAGAGGAACACTGTAATAAAATATGAGTAACATATCACACAATGGTGTGTGTGTTTGTTTGTAGTGTGTGTGTGTGTGTGTGTGTGTGTGTGTGTGTGTGTGTGTGTGTGTGTTTGTGTGTGTTTTGGTTAGTTAAAGGAGAGGATATTTGGACCCCCTCCCCACACCCCACACCCGCCAAGTGCATTGTCATGAAGACAGATTCCATAGTCTGGGACTTTTGGTCTTTGAGACATTGCAGTTTGTGTGGGGACAGTTTCAGCAAGCATGTGGTTGCATGGGGACAGAGTACTAAGGAGGGATCCTGGCTGTGGCCCATAGACTGAGAAGCAGTTGAGCTTCTGAGAAAATCCAGGATGGAACAAGAATGAGTAGGAAAATATGACTGAAAGGGAGGTAAAACATGCTGGCACTTCTAAGTCATTTGTCATCTGGAACTTGCTGAATGGAGTGTCTCACATTAGCCTTCTGTTTACAACAATGTAAAGCTAAGAAACTGGCTGTGTTATCCATAGAAGCAAATGAGAACAATAGAGAATTAAATCTTAACAGACCCACTCAGGTGACTCCTGGAGTCACCCCCTCTGTCAAGCCTGTTTTTGTACTGGGGTGGGAAGTCAGGGTGGGACCTGGCCCAGTTGGTTTGTACAGGTGTGAGACTAGACAATGACTTTGTGCACAGGCAAGGGCCAGAAGGCAGAGATTCTGAGAGACCAGATCCTCAAAGAATATGGGGACATGATATGGGAAATTGGGGTGGGAAACACATGGGGTGAGATGATGGTGACTTCACTGCACAGTGGTTAAAAGGGTTGAGGACTAGGAGGCCACAACAGACATGGACTGAAGATGGTAGAGAAAGGCTTAAGGGCCATTATAAGTAAAGAGTCAATATAAATCAATAAGGACCCATAGAATAATAAAAAACTATTGAAAGTGTATCCTCACTAGTAAATAGCAATAGAAGAATTAAAATTGGACATATTTTTTATTTTCCAGATTGGTTAATATTAGGGGAGAAAGTCTTCACATCCAGAATTGGGAAAGACATGAGATATTCTTATAGTACTTCTTAAGTGGACTTTATTTTTTAGAGTGGTTTTATGTTAGTTGCAAATTTAGATCCATCGAGTACTCATGGCCTCCACAGCCTCCCCAACACCAGCAGCTTGAACGGTGGTTATCTTGGTCTCTTTGAGCTACTGTGACTAAAATAAAACAATTTGAAGGCCTTAGAGCAGTAAATTGTTTTGTTTTTTGTTTTTTTTTCTTTTTTTTGATGATTCTGGAGACTGGGAAACACACAATAAGAGGCCATCGCTTTTTCTTTTTTTTTTTTTTGATGATTCTGGAGACTGGGAAACACACAATAAGAGGCCATCGGAGGTAGATGTGGTAACAAGTGCCTGTAATCTCAATACTCGGAAGGCTGGGGCAGGAGAATTGCCAATAGTTTTAGGCTATGTAGTGAATTCAAGACCAATTAGAGCTACATAATGAGTTTCATGCAAGACTGGACTATATGGCAAGATCCTACCTCCGGAAACAAAGGAAGACACTCTTGCTGTTTCCTCTTGTGGCAGAAAGGGTCAGAGGGTCTCTTTGGGTCTCCTTTGTAAGGGCAGCAATCCTTGCTGACAGGCTTGAGACTAAGTGATCTCATCACCCCTGTCCAAGACCTCCTGTGATGCCACCAGGAAGTTTAGCAAGAATGCACTGGGAGGCCATAAGCCCTCAGACATGGCAACAGTGCACATTTGACGAGTATATATGGATACACCACTGCCTCCTGGTGACAGAGTTTGTCTTTGGGGTGCACACTTGGCCACAATTTCACATTATGTGGACTTGGACAAATGCAATATGGCCCATGCTAACCACTACAATGTCACACAGCTGGCAGGATCTGCTCGCTGCTAGTTCATTCCTACTTCAGTTGCTGCACCCATTACTGTCTCCACAATCTTGCTTTCTCAGCATAGAAACGCTGGGGATTCTGAAAGTGCGATCCCCAGACTGGAATCATCAGCATCAGTGGGGATGAAATACTAACTGCAGTGTCACAAAGACCAAAAGTCCCAGACTATGGAATCTGTCTTCATGACAATGCACTTGGCGGGTGTGGGGTGTGGGGAGGGGGTCCAAATATCCTCTCCTTTAACTAACCAAAACACACACAAACACACACACACACACACACACACACACACAC